AGGACCGGCTGTTACAAGAGTACTACTGGCCAGGCTGCTTCCGCGACGCGGAAAACTTTGTACGGTCGTGCGACGCGTGTCAGCGTGTGGGGAAGCCGCACGAGAAGAACAAAGCACCGCTGAGACTAGTGCCGCTGATCACAGAGCCTTTTCGCCGCCTGGTCATAGATACGGTAGGTCCACTGCCAGTGAGCAAGTCAGGGTACAAGTATGTATTGACGCTACTTTGTCCCGCGACGAAGTTCCCAGAGGCATGTCCTCTGAAAGAGTTGAGTTCAGCCGAGATCGTGGACGCGCTGCTGTCTGTGTTTGCGAGGATTGGATTTCCCGCTGAAATCCAATCAGACCAGGGTAGTGTTTTCACTAGCGCCCTCACGAACACATTTTTGGAGAAATGTGGCATTCGTGTTGTGCATAGCTCCGTGTACCACCCTCAATCAAACGCCGTAGAGAAATGGCATGCAGTTTTCAAACGAGTTCTGCGCGCGCTGTGCTTCGAGCAGAAAGTAGATTGGGAGGCGTGTCTTCCGGCAACCATGTTCGCATTGCGCACAGTGCCACATGAAGCCACGGGTTTCAGCCCGGCCGAGCTTGTGTATGGGCGTTCGCTGCGCTCGCCACTACGCATGTTGCGTGAGTCGTGGGAAGGCCAAGGGGAAGACCCGACTGTGGTGGAGTACGTGTTGAAGCTCTTAGATCGCATGCATAAGACACAGGAAGTAGTTGAGGCGAACATGCAGCGGGCGCAGGCGAAGGCGAAACTCTACTATGACAGGGGAGCCAGGGAGCGTAAGTTTGAAGTGGGAGACCAAGTGATGCTGCTGAGGGTTTCCAAGAAAAATAAGTTAGAGGTGCAGTGGGAAGGTCCAGCCAAAGTGCTGCAAAAGCTCTCTGAGACGAACTACGCTGTGGAGTCGGGGAGGAAACGAAAGAAAGTACGGATATATCACTGTAACCTGTTGAAACCTTATGTGGGGAGGAAAGAGATAGTTAGCCTTGCTTGGAACACCCCAGAGGAAGTCCCCACGGAGATTCCTACTTGGGAGGGGAAGAGGGGAGAGTATGATGTAGACACCGTCATAGCCAAGGCAGTAAAGACCGACGTTCTTACTGAAGATCAGCTGAGCAATCTGCGCAAAGTGATCAGTGAGTTTGAGGGGTTGTTTTCCGATCGACCTGGCCGTACTAATCTCGTGTGCCACGATATTGAGCTCACCGAGAGTACTCCAGTGCGATCGAAGGCGTACAGGGTCTCTCCAAGACGGAGAGACATACTAGCTGAAGAGATCGAACGCATGCTCCGGCTCGGGGTTATCGAGGCCGCCGAGAGCGACTACACCTCTCCACTCATACTGGTGGAGGTGCCGGGCAAAGACCCCCGCCCTTGCATAGACTATCGTAGACTCAACACGATCACCCGAGATCAAACGTACCCTATCCCCAACATAGAGGAGAGGGTAGAACGAGTCAGTGCCGCTAAGTACATTTCCACGCTGGATTTGATTCGTGGATATTGGCAAGTGCCCCTGACAGAGCGGGCAAGCAGGTATGCGGCGTTCATTTCCCCACTTGGAACGTTCCGCCCATTGATGCTCAGCTTCGGGCTCAAGAACGCCCCGTTTTGCTTTTCAAAGCTCATGGACAGCGTTCTTCGTGGAACTAACACGTTCGCACTGCCATATCTGGACGATATCGCGATCTTTTCAGCAACGTGGCAAGAACACGTTTCGCACCTGCGGGAAGTGTTTCGCAGGCTACGCGAAGCAGGCCTTACAGTAAAGGCCGAAAAATGCCAATTGGGGCAAGCGGAGGTGACCTAACTGGGGCATGTAATCGGACAGGGCTGTCGGCGACCCTCAGAGATTAAAGTAGCAGCCGTTGGGAGCTTCCCTAGACCCGAAACAAAGACGCAGATTCGTTCGTTTCTGGGCTTGACTGGCTATTACCAGCGATATGTCGCGAACTATTCTCAGGTAGCCAGTCCCCTCACTGATGCTCTCAGGAAGAACGAGCCCAACAAAGTCGGGTGGGACGAGAAGAAGGAGCAGGCTTTCCAGAGCCTAAAGAAGGCGCTCACCGAGCGGCCGGTGCTAAGAGCACCTGATTATGATCAGCCATTCTTTGTGCAGTGCGATGCAAGTGACCGGGGCATGGGGGTTGTTCTGTACCAAAAAGAAGGGGACGAAGAGCATCCCATTCTCTACGCGAGCCGCAAGCTGACAACACGGGAGGAAGCGTATAGCGCCTCCGAAAAGGAGTGTGCTTGTCTAGTCTGGGCCGCACAAAAGTTGTCTTGTTACCTGGCGGGAGCTCCATTCACCTTTGAGACGGACCACTGTCCCCTGACCTGGCTACAGCAAATGTCGCCAAAAAACGGACGGCTGCTAAGGTGGAGCTTAGCACTTCAGGAGTTTAACTTCCGAGTAACATACAAGCGGGGGAAGCTGAACTCGAATGCAGACACTCTCAGTCGCATGTATTGAAAGGGGGTTGTACAGACGCTATAAAGCCTTGAGATATTTCTAGCCATTCTAGTGTTTTAGTGCTTTCTCGATGTCTTGTTTGGTGGGTCAGCCGCGCTCGGACGGCAGAATTTGATGACAGTGAGATTAATTAGGGTGATCTTTACTTGGCGAATTTCCGGGCGGGGTGAATGCTTGCTGATTTCTGTTGTGTGATGTTTTGTGATTCCGTGATTCATGCGCTGCTTGCATGTTTGAGAGGTGAAAAAGTAGCAGCGCCGATTCTGGGGCCTGGAAGACAGCAGCGAGCCATCGGCTTTCGGCAGAGCGGTTGCAGACCCCTCAACCTCAAGACCGTTTACCCGTCGGCAGAAGAGCTGTTGTATCCCTGCGGGCGTCCGGCTTCATCACCAAGTATCGGCGATCGGCGAGATGGACCGGTCACACCTGGCGCCCTCGTTTTCCCGAGGCATGAAAGAAAGGAACTGCCTCGGCTGCCCCGACAGAACTGGCAGCGCCGGGAAGTCTACTCATCTGGCGTAGTTTTGAACGTCCCGGACAAAGGACGCTCCTACAGCCTCGAGCTACCTGGGGGTAGCAAGACAACGAGAAAGAAAACGGTCTGGTGCAAGAGCGCGCGCAAGAGCGTGGTGTTTTTTTAATCTTTTGCTGGAACTCGCAACCTCGATGAACGCTGGTGACGATCAGCCGCCTAACCTGTACATAGGATGTAATTAAATCTGTACATACTGTACAGTTCGTTACCGCTGATCGGCTCCCAGTCTCCTGCCCCACTCCCGCTCCCGTGCCTGGCATGAGTCGACACACCGCCAACCAGGGTCAAACGCTCGGCCCCAACAGGTCGTCGAATCATCGGATACTCTCCAGGCTGAAGATATTTACCGTCTGGAGAATACACGAACTGGTGAGTTTACCGAGTACGAGTAAACGTCGAGTATCAAGTACGTGTTTTGTCCTAGAACATGAGCAGAACTTTTTTACTAGGTTCACTGACTCCTCTTCTTCTACCGTTACAGCAACATTAAACGATGAAAAGCAAATAAAGAAACCTTGTATGCTTGGATTGCTCGCGCAGGTGCGGAGAATAACAAAAATATTAAAAAATATCGCACGCGGTCGTGGTAAGCACGAGGAGTGATACAACTCAAGTGACTTCCGGCGATGCCTCCCTTCTGACCGCCCCGACCTCTTGCGGTACACTGTTACGTCACGGTGCACTGGCGGGAGCTTTGAATTGGCTTCGTATTTCTATTTTTTATAAAAAATCTACGCAACTGTAAAGTAAACAATTCTTTGGTGAACAAATATTTTTGGGACGGCGTGTCAGAGGCCCTTTAAGCATCGACAGCCAGGACTTAGGACGTCGCAACGACAGCGGCATCGGCGTTCGCTCGCACTTTTCGTCAGCAACCTTAAGATCAATTGCGACGATCGCGACATCCGACACCGTGACACTCCGGCCTTTATGACGTCATTTGTTGCAACTTCAGGAACACTTTTGATTTATGGGTGGGACTGGACGCGAAACACACTATAGTCGGAGACGCGTTCAAGGAAGAATAGCTTTCTGTAAGGACACGTCAACCACGGGAAGGGCTTTCTGCCTCGCAGCTCTTGTTATATACCTTTCTTTTTTCGGGAAATTGAGGACTGACGAAAGCGTAGGCCTTGTTGACAGCCAGCAGAGTGGCTACGTCCTGCCCTACGCCACGAACACGCTCCAAGGCTTTGTCCAAGGCCTCTAGCGGAGGGTGACTTTTCTACCCGGCAAATAACCTCCCAAAGCAGACCGGAAGGGGAGGGAAGACTTCTGCTCAACTTTGCACGACGTCATCGTTAGTTTGCCGAGTCCCGCTTCAAAGTGTCAACTACGCTTAATCGAGTGAAGAGCCACCGCAGTACGGCATGGCCATCTGTCTTGGCGTCGCCGCGAGCTAACGTCACGCTCGTGGTCAGACGCTACAAGCGGAGGCATTCCTTTTACGGAAGCTCTTCTTAGAAAACGCCGGTTCTGAGACCCCCGTTTATAAAATCCCCTTAATAGAGAAACCCCGTTAAGGGGAAATGGACGCGAAGCGAACTAGCTTTTATTGAAACACGATTCTCCGAACTTGGCGGCTAGTTCGAACGCTGGGTCGCCAGGCCGTTCTGCGTCCTCCGACAGCGAAGCAGAGCCAATCAGCAAGCCGGTTGCTTGGATGATTGGGCGCTGGAAAACTTTTTGCGTCTTGGCTGATTTGCGGGGGTAAAGAGAGGAAGGAGGCCGCCTTAGTCACGCGCTAGTTTTTAGCAGCCTCAAGATTTCACTTCGCCGACAGAACGGATTCGTTAAACAGCGTCCCTTCTTCGATAGACGGTTTTTCCCTAAACCGAAAATCCGCTTTCTCTAAACTGAGCTTCAATCAAACATGCCTATTGTCTACAACGTGCTTCGATCCAATGGCTTTCGATCAACCCTAGCAGATTAACCCATTGCAACGCGAGCTGACGGCGCTGCTGACATTTCGCCGTCACCAAATGCAGGTCATGGTGAACGTGTTCGTGGACCAGGCATCGGCGCGTGAATTCTCGAAGGCATCTCTCTCTGGCGCCCTCTTTGATTGGATGGAGGATCGGCACGTCGATGGCATCAACTTCGAGTTCGATCCGGACTCCTTCCAGGTACGACCGGGTGCCCCACGGGGCTGTTTCTTGCGACAGACTTTCGGCTCAAAATCTCGCCGAATGCCGCGGTGATGAACTTCCGTCGCATCTCTTTTGTGCGCGGAAGAGTGTTTTCCAGACCAATCGAGTTGCTTGTTGTCGCGAAAAATACCTAAAAAAAAGTCCGCGCCTACGCCTGTCTGGCATTGCTTTACCACATACTTTTTAGCATAAATGAGTCACAAGTGCGACGTAAGCGTTCGGCGAGGACTCGTACCCAATCATTATAATGCGATTCGTGTCAAAGTTAAAAAGTCAAATTGGACGTTTAGTGAATTATACAGCGTAAGGTCGGTCTGCCAGGATGAGGCGACACTGGTTTACACTGTAGATGAGCAATTTTGCCAGTCCAGTACGACTGCTAACCTGGGGTCTTTAGCGTGCTTACGCAGTCCATGGATGGATGTTGATGGCTATACCCCTTGTAACGGGCCGTAGCTTGCGCCACCTAGCCTAAGCCCTAGCCTAAGTCCAATCGATGGCAGCAGCCAATGCTTTGTGACGGAAGTCTGAAAAGGGTTTATTGACTGCACCATACGAGCACGGGCCGGGGGGGGGGGGGGGGGGGGGGGGCGTGATAAAAAATAATATCGTCGTGCAGTCGATGCTTACTTGCAGGATTTTATTCGTACTACAAACAGACCGGCGATGGAGAAGTCGCCCCGTCGGCAGATAAGATGAATCCAATAGACCTAGTGTTAATTACCCCAGCGTCAAGGAAACTGTTGGGAATGCATGTACACGCGCCGCACGCGCTCGCCCTCTCCACGTAAAGAATTAAAAGTAATTAACAAAAATAAGGCGGTGGCGAACGCTGTGCAAGATGTCATTTGTTTTGGCCTTTGTTATAACAGTTAGTGCTGCAGGCGCCAGCACGATCGTAGCGGAGACCTACATTTCCAGCATTATCCTTGGTGCTTGGAAATTAATCAATAAGTATATAGACCACTTTGCTCTTTACAAGCATGCACCGCTGCTTGCGTCCCAAGCGACTGCCGATTGCACCGTCTTTGCAAGCCTGTCGAGCTTGCTTTTGTTTCCGGTGCTAGAAAGCATGAATGCTACACGGACAACGTAGTTGGAGATTTAGTGAGGGCCTTTGGCTCCCCGATCTAACGTCTTAAGGGGTGTCCAAACAGGACACTACAAAACGCACGATTACGACAAATCGTGAAAATTGAAGCGGACGCTTCTATTTTTATGATTTGTCGGAGTCGTGAAAATGTTTGCAGGAGTCGTGAAAATGTTTACGATCACGACTGCTCTCCTCGTTAGATTGACGTCACACGCCACCTGCGTCTGTCTCACCTCGCCAACGCCCTCGCGTACCGCCGTCGCCTCGGCTCGAAGGCCAAGGAGGTCCGGCTTCGGGTGGATTTGGGACATTCTTGCGTCGAAGGGTGCGTTTCGCCCGCCTCGGATCTGCTTTCTTTGTCGAGATTCACTTTCGTCGTGATGGCGTCCGATGCGGTTCCGTATTCTGAGCGGAGGCCTTGAGCGATTGACCGACAGCCAACAAAGCGTGTGAGTGGCTCTCCGGACCCACGTGATGAGCAGAGCAAGGCCGCCGTGGAGGAAGCGAGGGGGAGATTTGAAGAGGGGAAGTTTCCCCCCGGGAGCTTTGACGGAGAGAAATTTCCTCCCGATGGCCGTAAGCGGAGCGCGGCACGATTTGCCGGAGTCGTGAGTTTTGTAGTATCCTGTTTGGACAGGCCTTTAAAGGAGACAACTTAGTGTACAAGAATATTCGGAAACATTGAACAGATTCCTCGCTTCTTGGTCCTTTTGGAGTTCGCCTGGAGAATTGGTGGTTCAATGTTTCATCGACGTTTCAAGGAGTAGTGTTGAGGTGGGCTTTGTTCATTATATTTTTATAAACTGGAAGGTCGATGCGATGTCAAAGCTGTGACTGGAGCACCGCCTGGTCACGTTTGCAAAACAAAGGCCTGCTTCCGGGGTGACTCGGAAAAAAAAAGAAGCGGGATAAGTGTGGGATGATGGGTTTATTCGGTTCAGCCACGTCCCCGGCAATATATAGTCAATTTTGTCGTCGACGGAATCATTCGTCACGCTGGTGCGAGTAATGCCCATGTCCCATTAGAGCGGCAGACAGAGACAAAAGACAGCGACAAGCCTCAAACCCATGCAGCATCCTCGCGATGGTACCTTTGGCAGGCGTTTATTCGTTCGGTGCTCGTGAAGTAAGCACGAGCGATCGCAAGCCTGCCAAAGCCACCCTCCCGTGCATGATGCTCCTGTTTGAGCATAGCCTCCTTTATTCTACAAAGCCTCTCAAATCGCGAAAGACTGTGGTTTGAAACTTGTCGTTGTCTTTTGTTTCTGTATGTCGCTTTAGTGGGACAAGGGCAAAAAAAGCACCATGAACGACGCCAATAACTGAATGTCAACATGCATGAGGAAAGTAGTAGTCGTTGTCCATCAACATGGCGGAACGCGGCATACCGGAAGTGAAAAGGCGTTATGTGAAGCCACTTTTGTGTGTTCTTTATCTCTTATCCTTGCCCTGTCCTTTGCGCGTTTTTTTTTTTTCATCATGTCCTTATAGTATAGACCATTCCATTTAGTGCTCTCAAGGCGACGCCATTTTTTTCGACCGCCGCACCGTCTCTAGACATCCGGGGAGTTCAGTAGGTTCGGCTGGGTAAAACGAGCGAGAGGGCACGCGCCCAATTGCGCTATACTCTATTTCACCTTATGATGTACCGCAGGGAAGGCTACGAGCGCGAGCTCCTTGCTCTAGGGCGCATCTCGACGGCACAAGCTCTCGTGCGTTAAAGGCACCTGCCAACGCCATGAGCTTGAGCTTCTAGCTTTCGCTGCGGTACAACATAAGGTGAAACGGAGTATAGCAAACGACGAACCGGGAGGTTGCCGTTTCCATCTTTGGGCTGCACCGGCGGGCTGTACCGAACATCGGACTCTTGTTCGTGGCTGCCGTTGTAAAATGGTTCCCTTTCTCAGAATATTTATGGCTACTCCAAAATCAGCCTATAGGTCTCTGTTCTTTTCTTCCAGTAAATGATCAGCCAGCGTATCTTTCTTCCGTCACTTCAATAGCAGTAGAATAAGCCGGCGGTAGTTCCCTCAACCGGTGCGTCTACTGCGTCAGGAGAGCACAATTTTATTTATTGTTCTAGACTTCCACTCATTGTCGCTGAAGGCCTACACCCAGTTCGAGCTTTGTATAATAAAAAACTCTACAGCAACCGGATTTACTTTTCGCCGGAGAGACCGGCCACTCTGATACAGTTGTGCCATATCTTTTTGTTTTTGTTTTTTTGCGCGCAGATAACAACACAATTGGACCAGGTTAGTATTTTTATTGAGCATAGCATTGCACGATATCTTACATATCACAATCCGCGCATTTGAGCTTGAAATTTCTGAAATGGCGCGATTTTAATCCAACTTTCAACACCAGCCGCGTGTTAGGTACACCCAACTCGGGGGCACAGACAACGCGCGGGGTGAGAAAGGGGAAGGCATTTGTTTTCTCTCTCCGCTCTTACATGGACGTCTGTCTACGCCTTGTGCACCTAGTGCGTTTGTTTACCCGCCAAACGCACACATGAGATTTTGTTTCCCTCCGGCCTTAATCAATGGCGGTGCTCGCTTGGCTGCCTTGCAATCGCACGTTCTATGTGCGTTTTATTTTTTTATCTCTCTCTTTTTTTTTTGCCGTTTGATTGGCGCGTTTCTTTTTGCGTTTTGATTCGCCGTCCCATATCTTGTTTTACGCGTTAGAATTTTTTTTTCAACTGTAAAGATTGAGCCGGAAATACACCTCAATTCACATCTTGAGCTCGTTGCTCGCACTCCCGTGGTGGAAACCGGAAGCGTTCTTGAAGCAAAGCACAAGAAGGGTGGTAACCCGAAGGTTTTATTCTGGAAGAGCGGCGCCTTTCGATCGCCGACGCCGGTCAGAATGTGGTCACGAGCCTCGGCGCAAGGCATGCGCTTCTAGGCTCGTCAGTCTCACGCGCGGAGCGCGTGCCGGATGTCCGAGTACATAACATCTCTTTCCCCCTAAAAATGCAAACGATCCGGCGGCTGTCGCTTTCGCCTTGACCGTCTGGGCAGCACAAGGTCTGCCAGCTCCGTTTCGGACCTCTCAGGGGAATCGCCGGCGCTGTCTTCCGCTACAGGCTGCGTAGGTAAGACAGGTTTCGTCGCTGGGTTCGCTTCTGATCTGTCACTGGAGCTGCCGGCACTGTCCTCCGCTGTTGTCTGCCTCGCCAGCTTGTCATCCGCCGTTGGGCCGTCGGTCTGTTGCGCGTGGCTGGCATCTAGCTGCGTTCGCAGCGTCTTCTCCGCGTCTCGCTGTCGCAGCTGGTCCACGTGCCGCCGCTGTTGTCCATCTGGCATGTTGAGCGTGACCATCCGCCTCCCTTGCGTGGATGTTACCGTTCCCGGTAGCCACCTTGGACACCGTTGATGCTGGCATGACCAGACGCGCGTTCCCGGAGCAAGTAGCGGTGATTTGATGATTGGAGACGATGGGAAAGTCACGGCGTGCTCTGGTTCTTGACAGCTTGGGAAGAAGCTGGTTAGTCTTGTCCTCGGTTGGTAGCCCAGCAACAACTCAGACGGCGATTTGCCGTCCTTGACAGGAGTGTACCGGTAACGAAATGAAAACTTGGTAATCCGGTTTTGTAGAGTGTCGCCTTTATTTTTCTTTAGGCCTTCTTTAAGAGTGCGAACAGCCCGCTCGGCTAACCTATTCGAATGCGGGTGATATGGTGCGGTTGTCAGATGACACACGTGGTTTTCTTTCAAAAATCGTGCCATCGCCGCGCTTGAAAACTGCGGGCCATTGTCCGATACCAGTGTTTCAGGGAGGCCGAAGCGAGCGAAGATTCCTCTAAGGACATCAATGGTTGCGTTCGCTGTTGCCGTCTTCATTGGGACAGCCTCAATCCATTTGGCGTCCGAATCGA